CTTCTTATATGTTATGTTATGTTATAATATGTGGTTTGTATGATAATAATTATGGTACGATGTGCTCAAGGATATGTTTGAGATAGGGTACGAGAAGGATGCACAAAACGAAATGTAACGATAGGAGTAAGATACGTTCATGAAACGTTAGAGTTAGGTTACATACCGGAGTGCTATGGATAGGAGAGATTGATGAAAGAATACGGTTAGGTTATGGGTAGAAAGGGATAGGTTTGTGATAGATTGATAGAACGATAGCGTTAGGGTACATTCTTGTGACGATATGACTAAGGTACGTCACGTAATGATATATCTGTGATAGGTATAAGAACGTGAAGGCTATGGTAAGTTAGAGAACGATATGACTATGAAGTGTTTACGTTATGACTTGGTTATGATATGATACATTGTATGCTAGATTATTGTGCTTAAGTACGAAATCATGTGAACGTGAATGTATGTTATTTATGCTGCTTAGTTGATGTGATATGAATGCATGTGACGATGTGTGGCCCTTGTACGATTATGGCTTGTTGTATGAGTATTGGAATGTAACTGAATGAATTGTATGACATGAAATACGATAAATTGCATGATACATAACCCTGCTAGGAATATGTATGATATATAACGAAATGAGAATGAGAATGACATGTAAGCATGAAAACGTGACACGAGGTTATGTTCATTAAATGATGACTGTAGGATTAGTGGGACCTCATGCATATTGTGTGATCATGCATTTGGGGGGATACCCCTATCCCATCACGAGGGTACGGACGCATACATCCAAATGACAGGTCAACGATCGTTATGCCCTGCATAACGCTGCCGTGACGGTTTTAGTTTTAACGGGTCCGGGTAGGCCCTCAGAGCATGCCCACCGGCTAGGGACAGTGGCCCAGCGGTGTGCGAACTAGCTGGTGAGCCCATACTCGCACGTATGGGTTGCGTGTAGAGTATATGGTACACGTCCACGATTACCTGTTAGGATTACACCGTAGGGAAAACGAAATGAAACGAAACGAAAGATAGGTCCCATCATTCCATTGCATGTGATTGTTGCATTTAACCCCAATAGTGGGGCCACTTACCGAGTATTTCTTTAAATACTCAAGTCATGTGCTACTACATTTTTCAGGTTAAGGCAAGGCATTCCTGTACGGCTGACGACGGCATCGCAACTCGAGATCATGGCACATGCATAGGATAGTGGTATTTATTTTCTTAGACTTGGGATAGAATAGGATGTTTTAAACTTAAACGCTTATTTATTTTATTTCGGGTCTTTTGTTGTGTCGTTTTAAAGATGTTTTCTAAACACATAAGTCCATGGCTGTGTTTTAAGGTTATGTTTTATGGAATTTAAATGAAGTCTTCTGCATTCAATGTTTATGGTATGTATACAGTAGCGACCTTAAATTAAGTAGAAAATTTCGGGTCGTTACAGAAAGTTACTGCTTATACAAACAAGGTGCACCTTCATTTTCGGTAGTTCAATCATAGGAACTCCATAATTAAGCGTATTTTGCTTAGAGTAATTCTATGTTGGTTGACCTCTTAAAAAAATTTCTGAGATACATGTGAGTGAAAACAAAATATATTCGGAGAACTCGTGTTGGTATGTAGAGATTTTCTTCACTCTTAAGAAACGGGGAGTAGGTAACGTAATCACGTCGTAAGGATGCAGAAAAATGTCGAGTTCATCGGATAAGGAATAATAAAATAATAATTATAATAAAAAGAACACATTCCAAAGTCACCATCTTTATTCTTATTCTTATACCAAAAGTGACTACAAAGAGACTTATCAATAACAAAACTACGACAAAGTCCCCATCAGTGTTGGCTATAAATACAAACCCATTTGGCCGAACATTTCTGTATAATCAACCAAAGCATTCAACGAATGTCTGGTATGATCTTCCTATCGCTTACTTGTAAAATTGTTTTAAAATGATATGATCGAGCGCTTTTGTAAGCTTTTAAGTTATTGTATAGCTAAAGTTATCTTATCTTTTTGTTTAACTAATGAATTTTTACCTATTTTTAAACGTTTCCGCTCAAATTAAATATGAATGTTTTTTCATTTGCTTTTCTTCATCTTCTTATATATTTATCTTCGTGATAATTTTTCTCGTTATGGAATCACGTGAATATGTTTAATTGTGTGTATTAACAAAGTTAACAAGAATATGTGTTTTGAACAGGAAAAAATCAATGGCCCGAGCTGGTGGGTGTGGAATATTCTGTTGTTGAAAGTATAATAAAAAAGGAGAATCCTAACCTGAGACCACAGAAGATTTTAGCTGGGAGTCCGAGAATTTTGAATTTCGATCCTTCACGAGTTTGGGTTGATGTTAATGTTAAAAGTATATGTGTTTTAGTTCCTAACGTTGGTTGAAGACTACACATGACTATTGTCGTACAAGTTATATGTACGTAAGATTATAAAGTATATGAAAGTATTAATAAGGTAGTATCGAACTACCACTTTAACTATTGAATTGTTCCATTACCATGCCACTATTTATGTGTCAAACTTGGTTTATTACATACTAATTAATCACGTCAATTTTGGTTAATAATTTGATCTTTTATTTAAAGGTATAGCTTTATGTCATTTGAGCTATTCTCGTGCGGGCAATTTCACCGTTATATTTCAACTTTGAAAATAAAATATTTTTGAAACGATTAATAAATTGAAAACAACTAGGAAATGTGAATATATCATTTTTCATGTCTATATTTGTAACGATCCTATTTTTCTCTTAAAAATAAGATCGCTATTATATACATGATATGTCTTTTATGTGCGAAAAAATTGATTTAAAATATTTCATAAACCATGTCATGGACTTAAACGTTCGTAAAATCCATTTAAATTAAAAGTAGACAACAATGAAATAGCGGGAATGAAATAACAATAAGTTCAGTGTAACAAAAATGCACTTATTTAACCTAAGGGCTAAAGTTTAAACATAAATATAACTACCCAAGTTTTAGTTTCATGGCCTTTACAATGACGTTGTCGTCCTACAATGATGCTTTACTTAAAAGAAATAACACGTGGGTATGAGTATTTAAAAATGGTAAGTAACTAGCCCCATTGTTGGGGTCGGAAAATGCAAACCAAGCTTTCATGGTGGGACCTACCCATGGCCCATGCATGCGTACATGGATCTATCAAGCAGGCTTGTATACGTACACCTAAGCTTGGCTCGTTGGGGCTAGCACACGCTCAAACAAGCATCTTCATCTTCATGTCATTCAATATAATAAAGGAATTCCAAAATCCCATAACTTGCATACTTGTCATGGTTCTCAAACATAGATTTTAAAACTTTTCAATTAAAACTTTCCCATTAATGTTAAAGGCAACCGTTAACTATATAATGCCCGATCATGATCTATTCTGACTTCCATAGCCTTTCCAGCATTCACTGTCATCTGTGCATGGAAGCTTCACTTTTACCTGTAAAATATAAGGGTAGCACATGACTTAAACATTTTATGAAATAATCAGTAAGACATTCCACTCCACTTGTTGGGATTAGTATTACAATCCCATATAATAGATGTATGAGACCTATCTTTTAAAATTGTAACATGACCTTTGGCTCTTTCTAGTTTCAGGTAGGGTTAGATGCATGGTACTACACTACACACGACCCACATACGAGCACATGAACTTACCAGGCGAGCTCATGTATGTACCCTAGGTTTTTGACTTGGTCGGACACAATGCATTACACGTCATCGGACGCCTCATAAAAGAAAGGCCCACATGATATCCATTTTGATTTAGCTCTTCCTAGAGTGCTCGAGGATATTGATTCCCATCACACACCGAGATTTTATGTTAATAACTCTCACGTGAGTTCGATCTTATCTCTTGGCCATTTCCCAACGTACCTAGGAAGAGTGAATGGGATTGGATAAAGCAGTTAGGAGACTATGCTTACCAACTCTCTAACCATTTTCCAATGTACACTCAATATCCCTAAAAGAGTTACTTAAGCTTTCTAACCTTTTGTCGAGTATATATATTTTTTCTCTTATTTCGTTCTCACGCTCTTATGTGGCCTCTTCGGTGTGGTGGTTTTGCCATAACACCTCGAACGCAATGTCTCTATTGCGTAGCGCTTTTACTTCCCGAGTTAAGACTTTTATTGGTTTTTCCTCGTAACTCAAATCTTCATTGAGTCAGAGGGGCTCGTAATCTACTACGTGGATAGAATCTGTCATGTATTTCCTTAGGATCGACACGTAATCTAGTACATGGATAGAATTCATCATGTTTGCAGAATGAAGTTCAATTGAATATTCAATGGGACTACCAATATCTCTGTCATTACTCGTTTCGAGTCTTTGAAACTCAGACCTTGACTAACAAGACAACGACCAAAATACATATAAATAAAAGTAAAATATGAAAATTGAATAAAATTCCAATCAAAGTTAAACCAAACAACACAATAAAATACCAAAAGAAATACATTTATAAGACAATTTTATTCAAATTTATTACAAATTAGAAAATATGTTTGGGATACCGCTACAAAACAAAAATACCAAAGACTCAAAATATAAAATGGGCTGACGCTTCGAAAAGATCTTTTATGTGACCACATAGCTCTTGGATGCACCCACACTCGATCGGTGCCTGTGATTACTTGAAAAAAAAAGAAGGGAGGCGTAAGTATAAAAAAAAAAAAATACTTTAACGTACTTATAGACTCACATCGCATCCTTAACCTAAGAAGTTAGCACCGGCTTTTCTTTGGCCTCTAAAACGTTTTGACCTAATTCAGGAACCCTCTAACTATTACCACACTTTATAGTGGCGCCTATCATAACTTGAACTATTTATGTACTCCCTGTCATCTCTTGGAGAAGGTTTATTCCATACACAATAAGAGCTCCTCTATATACTACTTATGTCGTCCATCGTCCCCTCTTAGGTTGAGCTTGTTCTACACACTAAGTATATCCTCAATTAACTACATGTGTAAGCCCTCGTTTCCTCTTAAGGCGAGTTATTATACGCACCATAGCGGTTTATCATGGTATTTACTTATATGGTTCCTCGCCCCCGATCAAGGCAGGTTTATTCTACACTCAGTGGTGGTTCTTCATGTTACCTACTCATGTAGTCCCTCATCCCTTCTCAAGGCGAGTTTACAGGTCTTGACTCGTTTCTATAGACATTGGTAATTCCTCACATCGCCTACTCATATAATCCCTCATCCCTTCTCAAAGCAGGTTTACAGGTCTTTAACTTAGATGCATCCGTTGGTTCCTCTTTCCATTTCAAGGAATCTAAATATTTTGTCATTACTCATGCAATATTCTATCATAGAGATAATATGAGCTCTAACTTTTTTCAACATCTTATTTATGTAATCGATAGGGTGTAGCACTTTCCCCTTTCTTTATCCTAACATCGCTCGTATTCCAAAATCACTTGCATCACACATTAATTCAAAGGGCGAGTTCCAATCAAGAATGACATTATAGTTGTTGTCGTCAATGTTTTTTTTTAATGTCAGGAATGTTGTAATGTAGTGCTCATCGAAAACATTGGGTTTTGTTGCAAATCCCAAAAAACTTCTTATTTACTGATCTACAATCCTTAAGGGATTTTATCGTATTTTTTTGTTGTCAGTCCATCAATCCACATCGTGATATGGGATTGAAGTCTTTGAGATAGTGACAAATGATCTATAGTTAATGAAGGAAATTTGATTAATTAAAAACTTATGATTTGTAAATCCATACGGTATTCTTCCCCGCTTATACTGACACTAAAATGATCAATTTAGTTGAAATAAAAATTTAGAAAACCTGCTAGTTTTCCAAAGTTCCCATACATAGGACCTTTGGTTGAGTTAGTTTTCCAAAATTCCTATAAATAGGATCTTTGGTTGAGTCAAAATGAACGACTTTCTCCTTTAGAATGGTTCAAAGATTTTTTTTCAAAAGACTCAGCCAAGTTCCAGACCTTGTAGTTCAATAGCTAGGAAGAAGTTTCCGACCTCGTGGAAGCAGTTTCATATTGTCATAATACATCTAACAAACTTACAGGCCATAATTTCTACAAAGGTACAATTCGTATTCAATCTACATGTTTTACTTTAATTCTTAATAAAATGAAACTATGATCCAACGTTTATGTTGCACAAATGAATAGTTCATACCATTCTCTAACTAACCCCGGTAGATTTTCAAACATTGGAAACGGACAGGTTATGTTTGTCTAACACCGATCGACCGACTTCTTATGGTCTCAACAGTGTATATACATATATATATATATGTGCGTGTGTGTATGTGTATATGTATGTGTATGTGGTTCGAAAATTCTATTTCCATTCTTACATTTACCATAAGTGGGTTAAATACGTAATCTCGGGTTTCGACTAAAAACAAAAAGTTATTTAAAAGAATAAAAAAATGATGAAATAGTATAGAAACAAAAATTCTTAGGTTGGATCGGAGCAGGAGAGGGAGAAAAATGTCCTAAAATTGGTTGTAATAATGGGTCATATAAATGGACCCACTACTAACATAAATACTCATTCTTCTATGCCTCTTCATTTCAAACTATTTAATTTCCTTTCCAATTCTATTTTCCTCCTACACTTTCTTTATATATATATATATAGTTAATTTATCGTACTTTTAAATAAATATAAATGCCCATAAAAATCCCACCTGAATTGAGTTATTTTTATAGATTGGATTTAATCCAGGGTTGATTTTAAAAATTATATATGCATATATTTATTTTATTTTTATTTCATTTCATAATTATTATTTTTTCTCTTAAAAACAATTTTTTTAATTAAATGTTTAGAAATAAATAAAATGATGTTTTATTAATTAATATTTTACTTTTATTTAAAATAATTTAAACAAATTACTCGAATAACCCAACTCATAAATTAATTTATGGTTGGATTGAATTAGATTCATTATTTAATAAGAGTTATTTGAGATAATTGAATTGAGGTAATAAAGTAAAATAAAATAGTATTCTGTAAATTTTAATTTAATAAAATTAATAATAATGAGGTTTGGCGTGATTTAATTAAAACTATGGACTAATTTTTATATATATTATTATTATTATTATTATTATTTATAACTGTGAATTTTGGCTTAAGTTTTTCTAAAAATTACATTTTAATTTTTTTAATTTTAAAATTATTTTAAATGTCTGTAAAAATTGAAAGTAGGGATAATTAAGATATGTTATTATTTATTTTAATTTTAAAAATATTTTTTCACATTATAACCACATAATTCACAAAATTAATTTTTAAAAATAAATTCTCACCTCTGATATTATAAATTATGAAAGGTATGTCTTTTTAAAGTATATTTTTATTTACCATTTTAATAATAAAAAAATACACGTGTCAAAATTATCATTTAATTTAACTCTCAAAAGTGCTTCAAAAAATATCGTTGAATTTTCAAAAAAATAATCTATGAGGT